TTCTTCTATTGCCCTCAATCTTTCCCAGCATTAGGCTCTTCTCCAGTGAGTCCTTCCTTCTCATTAGGTGGCCAAAGTACTTGAGTTTCAACTTCAGGATCTGGCCTTCTAAAGAGCAGTCAGGGTTGATCTCCTCTAGGACTGACCAGTTTGATCGCCTTGCAGTCCAGGGGACTCGCAGGAGTCTTCTCCAGCACCAGAGTTCAAAGGCCTCAATTCTTTGTTGCTCAGCCTTTCTTATGGTCCAACTTTCACAGCCATACATTGCAACTGGGAAAACCATGGCTTTGACTATACGCACTTTTGTTGGCAGGGTGATGTCTCTGCTTTTTAGTATGCTGTCTAGATTTGACATAGCTTTCCTCCCCAGGAGCAAGCGTCTTTTAATTTCTTGGCTGCAGTCCCCATCTGCGGTGATCTTGGAGCCCAGGAAAATAAAATCGATATACATATAGTATATAGTAAATTCATAGTTTCTCTTTTTTCCTTCCCCTGCACAAGTTGCTCATTGCAGCAATATTAAACATTCAATGTATATCTCATGAAATATACCATATACTTTATATACAGATGGTTCTTTAAGTATGGGCTAGTGCAGGGGTAGGCAACCTTGGCTTTTATGACTCGTGGACTTCAACTCCCAGAATTCCTGAGCCAGCCATGCTGGCTCAGGAATTCTGGGAGTTGAAGTACACGAGTCATAAAAGAGCCAAGGTTGCCTACCCCTGGGCTAGTGCTAAAATCATAATGTCCTTCTTAATAAGGAGCTACTGCCTTAAGGGTCATGGTGGCACAGTGTTAGAATGCAGTATTGCAGGCTAACTCTGCCAATTGCCGGCCGACTGCCAGCAGTTCAGTTCTCACTGGCTCAAGATTGACTCAGCCTTCCATCCTCCTGAGGTTGGTAAAATAAGGACCCAGATTGTTGAGGGCAATATATGACTCTGTAAACCAGTTAGAGAGGGCTGTAAAGCACTATGAAGCAGTATATTAGTCTAAGGCAATGGTTCTCAACCTGTGGGTCGGGACCCCATTTGGGGTCGATCGACCATTTCACGGGGGTCGCCAAGCAAGGCTGTCCGCCATTTTTTTTGTCTGCCATTTTTTCCCCCTTTTTCGGCAGGTGCCTTACCTCCCTTGGGCTGGGCCAGCTGGTGGTCGGCCTGCTCCGTCTCTGCCTCTTGCCAGCTACGCCTCGGCCGGTGCAGGGGGCGGAACCACGCATGCGCGGTGCTCCCGGGCAGGGAAAGTCCTCGACTTACAACCGGTTGGGTAGTCCTCGACTTACGACCGATTTAGTACTCGACTAACGACCGGTTTAGTCCTCGACTTACGACCGGTTGGGGTCGCGGCATTAAAAAGGTTGAGAACCACTGGTCTAAGGGCTATTGCTATTTAGAGTTGAAGCTTCTCCCCGAAGAAGCATTGAATGCGTTCTTTGCGTGTATCTTCTCACCTCAATATCCATGAGCACACAAATGCGTATTTTTTTTTTATAAAAATGAAGTCCATAATTACTGGAAGTTCCAGAAATCTATTGCTTATTCCAAGACTACGAAGAATATAAATGCTCTAGACCAGGAGTGTCAAACTCAATTTCATTGAGGGGCGCATCAGCATTGCGGTTGCCCTTGGGGGGCCGGGTGGGTGTGGCCAGGGTGGGTGCGGCCTACTGGGTGGGCGTGGATGGAGTGGGTGTGGCCTACTGGGTGGGCATGGCCAGCTCTACATCGTTCGTGTCAAGGGTGCCTGTGATTTGTGATTTTATTAGATTTATACCCCGCCCTTCTCCTGGCGGACCCAGGGCGGCTTACAGCAAGCTAAAAACAGATAAAGACCCTACAAACACCATTTTAAAATATAATTAAAAGAAATATTAATTTTGCCGTTTCATTTAAAATTTTGTTAACACCCAATATAAATCAAATTAAAATCCAATCTAAAATACCCCTCAGGCCAGCCCCGCTAGCTGGAATAGCCATGTCTTGAGGG